AAGAACAGGAACAACAGTAAAACTGATACCAGAAAATTGAGTTTTCCTACGCCAAAAGGAAAAGAAATTGTGTTGCTCATACCAGCTTGTTGTCTACAAAGACCAAGGCATGACAAGAAGCCAAAATTTCCAGTGTGCGTACAGGAACCTTGCTCATATCAGTGTCTGCTTCTTCAGAATTAGACAAGCCCCCAACTCCTCGGAACTCCTATGTAGCAGCAACGTTAATGAATTTATCATAAGCAAAAGCAAGGAACCATATACCCTGAACTTTCAATTGCCTTACCATGTCATCTGACGTGAGTGTACCAGTCTTATCGAAACAACACAAATCAACCTGTCAAAAGGAAAGTATGACACTAGTAAGACCGAAGTACAATCAAGAACAAATACTAATTCCTTTGAGACTGCCGCAGGCTCAACATCTAGAGTACTTAAGACCAACAAATAGCCAAATGAAGCAAAATAGATAATACCTTCCCGGCAAAAGGGATCCTAAAAGGCTCTGTACAAAATATCCCACGTCGAGCAAGAGCAATTAATGACGTATTGACAGCAATGGATAATTCCATAGGCAATTCCGGCGGGATCACTGAGGTGATGATAAGTGAACAGCCTAACAAAAGCTTATATTTGCTCCTTGTAGGATCCTCGAGACCCTGCAAAGGAGTTTCATCAACACTATTATAGATAAACATATTTATTTGAATAAGAACCTGAAAAAAGTATTGGTGTACCTTTACAAGAACATAGCCTGCAGCTATCACAGCAAATACCACTAGAAATAATATGAACAGACCACTCTCCCAGCTGTTTGCAGTAACCTAATTTTTTACCAAATAGATCAGAACAATCAAAATTATCAAGCATGCTGAAATGATACAACAAATAAAGGAAAGATCTCTAACCCTTTCTGTAGAAAATAAAATTGTCCTCATTAGTTTTCCTTGGCTCGTCTCAAATCCAGTTCGGAGAACAACAGCTAGACAGCCACCATCAGGGGTTTTCAGCGAGAAGGACTGACCCCAAACATTTATTAGTATGGAAACACAGATTTGGAGAAAGCACGGAAAAAGGAAATGGTTGATATTGCTGAGACAGAAATACCTTGTCAGGTGAATGTTGCAAGATCTTGGTCCCGCCAAATAAAACATGATTCTTATCCCTTTTGATCGATAATTTTTCATCAGATCCTTGGCCAACAATGGGAACCTATAATAGACATCATATAATCTCAGTGAAACATAGGTCACTACACGTATGGACCTTATAATGTAAGGGCTAAGCAAGATCCATATGATGAACTAAGTAGTGCTCACTAGTTAATCCTGATGATTTTTAGTGTCAAACAAAGACACTAGAACCTATTACACATATTGTGAGAGAAGCAGTTGATGCAATAATAAGAATGGCCAGTAAGATGACAAAAACCAAGTTATATGCAATGTTATAATTCAGAACTCTTCAAATACCGAAGTCCAGAGAGCGGAACTTCAGAGAGAAGCCATATAACAAACAAAGATGACGTTAATGAAAAAAAAAGTACCTTCCATTGGGGAGTTGACTCGCCTGTCAAAATGGCTTCATTTACAATAGCACTTCCTACCAGTAAAAGCATGTCCGCTGGTACTGTCTTATCCTCTCCTCCAGTGTGAGTTGACGGTCGCCCAATGGACACAACATCTCCTGGAAGCAGATCTGTACCTAAGAGCCTCACCCACCTAAAATTTGACTTATTTAGACAGAGCAGTAATACAAAAACGACCTTTAAGGTAAACTTTGGTGTTATTCAATTGCATACCTTCCGGATCGATACACCATCACGGTCTGACTGTCCACCCTAACACGTCTTAGGTCGGTTAATGTCTTCAAGCGGCTTTTTGCCATTGTTGACTCGAACATGAAAAGCATGAATAGTGTGAACACACTGTAGTACCAGAATTCATCCAAGCACCAAAGACCCACACAGAAAACCTGCAAAATGAGGAAGAAGCACAATAATACTTAAAGCCACAATAACTATAAAAAGAGCTCTTAGATACATGCATTATCAAGTAAACAACACCTGAAATACAAAAAAGGGTTCCATGCAGTTTTCTTTCATTAGCTTCTGGAATGTAGGTTGTGGATAATCAAATCTGCAAGGCACAGAGACAAGGTATCAAACCAGAAAAAAGAACAAACAAAACTTTGGATATTCACCAGGCGATATGTTTTAATAGAGGTCGGTTGGGTATATTAAAAGAAAAACAGAACGCACAAAATAAGAGACGATAAAAAAGAATTATAGCCAATAAAAAAAATCAATTATCAACGTTACAGTGAACAAGTTATAGATAAATGTAGAGGAAAATTACAACGCGACTTACACATTCCTTCCCCACTTCTCTGTGGCAGTGGCAACTTTAGCTTCTGTACCATGACCAGTACATTTCAAATAATGACCAAATGTTTCTTTTGTGGGGTATGGAAGCTTGGAAAAGGCTCCCAACTCTTTTGAGTATATAAAACGCTGTTTCCTGAAGTCAAAGAAAATTTCTTCCAGGTCTTCCGAGGCTGCCGAACCTGTCATCTGCAAACAGCAAAAGACTTAAACTGTTAGAAACATGAGAAGTACGATAAAATCAAGCATTTCCAGGCCAAAGAGGATTCAAGTAGTATAGGCTTAAATTCATTAAAGTTTACGCCGAGAGAAATGGCAGAGACAAAGTATCGGTTTGTTAACAGAGAAATACACTGAGAACCAACTAGAAACACAGAAAACAGAAATCTACCACTTTAAAAGGCCGAACCATTCATGGAGACTATTTAGTGACAACTTAACTATTAAACAAGAAAAGATTGAATGAACTTACTTGGCTACGAAAATGAAGAGGAACAACTTCTTTAGAACCTGAAAATTTGGCTGGGGTAACTTTACATGCATCTGCCTGGTCGATACTGTTAACCTGTTAATTCAATACACAGGCACAGGGCCAATGAATACCTGTAACTCAAGATCCATCTATTAAAAAACAATCGGTGTTAACAGCCATTGGACACTGCCCGGTTACCTTGCTAAACTGGACAAAACACTTGAAATCCACCGACCACGCAGTGAAAAGCAAGACTAGGATGTGAAAAGCAGAAAGAGCACCAAGCGCAATGCAAGCATCAGTGAAGTCTATGCTAGGAACGATCGTAGTCAACCATACTGTATACAGAATGGCAAAAGGCCAAACGTCCAAGCGCCACACCAACTGTTTCTTCCTACATAAATCAACCTTCTCCACTACCTTTCCTCCCACACGAAAGCTCGACATCTCAAAACCAAAACCTAGTTCGTCTTCAAATCGTCTAAAGTTCCTTGATTTCTGCACAACGTTCACAATTACAGACTAAGACCAAATCGAAACCTCAAAACGGTTCAATTAAACAAAAAGCTAAGAAATTTCCTAGTTTCTAGCATCGTAATCGCGCATTAGAACAAGAGATTACCTAGAAAACCTTAACCCTATTGAGAAAAATCAATTTAGAGCCAGATCTAAGGAGGAGGAGGGAAAGAGACAAACCTTGAAATTTGCAGTAGGATTTGAAATCGAGAGAGATCAAAACTAGGGTTTTCAAATTGACATGCTAAGATCGAATCACGACGAAACCCAAAAGGAATCGGCTTAGTTTAGCTCTAGCCGCTTCGGTTTCTTTTCGTAGACTTCTATATTTTGTTAAATTTATCAAATCTCTAATATTCTTAATTTTTTTTTTTTTTTTTTTGCCGTCTAAATTTATTATTAATTGCAAATTATGAGAACTGTTACATAGACGATTCTACAACTGACAATTTCTGCCGACCCTTAGTAGATCCACGACAGACTACACTTCCTTCTTCATGATTTTGATGAATACCTTCAATGATCCACGACCTAGCGACCCTTCCTTCTCTGCGTAGAATCCTGGCGCACGGCTATAATTGTACATCGCTGGAGATCTCCTGCACACTTGCCTCCATTAATCTGCAAATTTGTTAATAAATCGCAATATCTGGGACTCGAACCCCAGACCTCTTAGTGTAGAAGCATTAATCAACCTTTGGTCAACCAATGGGCCAAAGGGGCTTCCACAATTCTTAATTTTTTTATTAGTAACTTTTTACTTCTCTATTAAAAAAAAAACAAATTTTACTTCTTCTTACATTTCTTTTCTGGGTTTATATGGGCCGAGTTTAGCCCATTAATAAGTTCAAAGTTGACTTCTCAAGTGGGCCGTCTGTGGACTCGGGATTGTCAGAAATATAAGCGAGAATGTGTGTCCTTCTTGGCCACCATCGTCAGCTTTGAGTACGTGTTTGAAGAGAGATCACAACAAGATTATTCTAAACATATTCATTTACACAGAGAAAATAAATTATGAATATATTTAGTTTTACTAATTGATTATAATAATTGCGGTCTCTACATTTTTAAAAACATGTGTTATATACTTTATATTATAAAACACAGTAATTATAAGATTGAGTGCTAGCAACTGTAAAGAATATTCCACATCATAAGTTAAAAAACCATATTTTTCTAAAGAGAAACAAATAATTGAATCAAGTAAGACACATTTAAGAAAAAATGTAGAGACCACATATGTGTTTAGTTATTTAAATTCACTATTGACCAAAATTTAATTGATTTATATAAGATATATAGGCCATTGTACGTATTAAAAGTTAGATTTTGCCTCTAACGGATAAAATTTTCCTTAACTTAAAAGTTAAATATATAGGCCAATGTATTAAAATTTTCTTAAAATTCTTGTCTGGCTAGACTAGGCGTATATTCTACATCAAAGTGTCATGGAATCGTAAGTTTTATTTAAGATATATAGGCAATGTATTAAAAGTTAAATTTTGCCTCATAATGACTTAAATGTGTTGGATTTGCACAATTGTTGCTTGACACCAGCAAAATTATATTTTTAATACTATAAAATGGAAAATTTGATATATAGATTTATTTCTATGTGCTGCAAAGAAAAAAAAGATTTATTTCTATATATTATTTTGCAAACATAAAAGAGACAATTGATATTGTTTACCACCTGTCGCATGGTACATTGTATAAGCACCATATTTGGAGAGAAAAAAAAAAGTGGATTTATCTATATATACTATAGAATTGGTGTTTTGATCCTTTTCCATCTTACGTTCAATAGATCTTGAAATATCATATAGAGTTCTTTAGAATAAACAAAGTTTGGGTTCTTACTAGTCTATCAATACTAGTTTGTGGGTTTGTAAAACAAAATTTACGATTTCAAGTCAATAGTTTGGTCTTGTTTTTCATTGGTCGGATAGTTTTTGGTCTAAACTTTTGGAAAATGGCTTTGGCACAGAAAACAAGTGTTGGTTCATCTTGGAACAAGGATGATGATATTGCTTTCGAGAGAGCCCTTGCAATTTATAACGATAAAACAGAGATTCGTTGGAAAAAAATTGCAACAGTTGTTCCTGGAAAAACTTTAGAACAAGTTATAGAGCATTACAATATTTTAGCTCGTGATGTTATGTTGATTGAATCTGGATGTATACCTCTTCCTGATTATGAATTTTCAGAAGAACCAAATCAGGATGCTAGTGATAAAGAAAGAAGCATATTGGAAGGTGGCAACAATCGTAAATGCGAGTTTAAGCACAAAGGTAAATCAAAACTAAAGCAAAAACGACGAAAGGGGATTCCTTGGACTTCAATTGAACACAGGTTTCGACTAAATTCACTTGTCTTTAATATTTTATATATGGTTTTGTGTTTATTTTGTTTTGATAATAAAATTGTGGCATACGTATTTCTTTGCTAGTAATTTTTGTGTTTCGTTTTTTTTTATACGCGAATAGACAATTTTTGCTTGGTTTGAAAAAATATGGAAAAGGTGATTGGCGTAGCATTTCTCGCCACTGCGTGGTGACAAGAACATCAACTCAGGTTGCAAGTCATGCTCAAAAATACTTTGCACATATCAACTCAAAAGATAAGAAAAAAAAGAGGCCAAGCATTCATGACATCACCGTTGTGGAAAAACAAAAACCAATCACATGGCAAAACAGAAACATCAATGGTGCTACTACTTCCAACACTCAAGCCAATCAAACCACTTTGCAACAATCACTAAACCTTCCTATATATGACAGACCCAACATATGGAATACACAAGCTACTCAAGCCATTTCACAACCATCACGAAACCATCCTACATATGGTGCATCCACCACATGGAACACACAAGCCGCTTTGCAACCATCAGCCAATATTCCTATGTATGGAACGTCCACCATAAGCCAACCAATGGTTGGACCAATGCTCTCAACTTTTGGAACAAACCTGAACCGTATGGCTCCACCTCACATGACTTCTGGAGTTCAACATAAACCTTACTACTCGGGTCCTAGTGCACCAATCAACATGGATTCAATTCCATACAACATTGACTTATATAACTAGATCCCAAAGATAGGTCTTAACCTTCATGTTTTGTGCTTGTTATAAAGTGTAAGAGGAATACTTATTTCATCTTGTTGTTGTTTCATGTGGGATTATTTGATGTTTTTTCTAGGATCATATGGTTAGGGTGTAACATATAAACCTATTTTAATTTTAATTTTTAAACATATAAACATATTTTTATTCCAATTAAACATATTAAAACTCAAAATTTATCATAATACTCATAATTTATCATACAACTAGGTCCGGACCCGCACATACGTGCGGGCTTTTATATTTTAAAATATGCGGGTTGAATATTTGTTGTATAACATATAGTGAAAACGGGTTTAACATATAGTGTTGTATAACGTATGTACGGGGTTTTTTGTTTGATTGGCTAAAAAGATTGGAAAGAATAATTAGTAAGAATTATATAATTTTGATTGGTGAATGATTGGATATCTTGGTTTGGTTTTGTTGAATTATTGAGAAAGTTGCAAAATTGGTTGTAATATTTGTGAAACCAAATTATTATTTTGATTTATATTGTATATTTTTATTTCTTAAACTATAAAATGATTTGTTTGGTGAAATAAAATTATTGTGTTGCATAAGAGATGTTGTCAATAAATATGTGTTTTTGTTGTATGTAAATATGTGAATTTTATATAAAAAAAAACATTTTGGTATCAGATAATAAAATAGATAGAGTAATTTTTGAAATATAAATGTTTTTTCAATTTTCCAATGTTTAAAATAAATTTCCTAAAGGAATTTGTTTTGTGTTAAATTGGTTTTAAATTTTGAATTTATGTATAAATATTTTATGTAATTTGTGTTTGTAATTTGATATATCTATAATTAAGTTTTATGTTTGGGCCACATAAAAATCTATTGGCCCATTTTCGATTCCGTTAATACATCTGTGATCCAATAAAAAGCTATAGACCTGTCAATTGGGCCTAAATATTTCGCTAATCCATTTGATATATCGCTGTTTTTTTTTTTTTTTTTTTTTTTTGGACAAATAATTCTCAACCCAACAATCATTGTCGGTGAGATGAAAAGAGATGAAACAACAAACCCAGAAAAATTTCATGCTAATCTTCGATCTGAAAATAGAAAACGTAATACTGCTTAGATCGAGCTTTATCGTTGCTTTTATCAAGTTTCTACCACTGATTCCGAATTATAGAAACAGGTAAGCTTTTGATTGATTCAATTTTAGAGAACTTTTTATTTTTTCCAATTCGTCGATTTGATTTCCAGTTTGTGCAATTCTCTGTTTGAATAGATTCATTGGGAGATGACTGTGAAGAACCCAAGCTTCTGAGTAAGTTTAAAACCCAATAAATTTTACAAAGTAATTTTACTGTATTTTTGGAATTTAACAAAGTAATTAAATCTATCTACATAAATCTTCAGAGCCATGATTGTAAAGATTTCAAAATTGGTTTGTATATAGATTTGAACAATCGATTTTGTTTCCTGAAATATATTAACATCATGTCGTTCTTAAATTGATTTCAGATAATAACATAGATGATGATGTTGCCAAAAGAAGATGATTTAGAAAGATAAGTTGTTCATACGATTATTACTATTGCATAGGATCAAGATATGTGTAATGACATAGATTAGAAAGATTATATTTCATAAGTAATAATATGATGAGAATCATATATTTAAAAGCTAACTATTGTTACTATATGCGCAGATTAAGGAAAGAAATCATGCAATCAAGATTGACTGATGATTTAGGATCTTAAACCAATTACATAAGGTATATTCTCGAAACATTATGATACGAAAATTTATATCAATGGCAATGCTAACTAATTATATACAATATATAATAGTTAGATATATAGCTTAGCTTAACATTTATGATTACAATATAGTTGTTAGAAAACAACTCTTAAATTTAGGTTGGCTGCTACTAAAACTTAATATGGAAATAGAGTAAAATAGAGATTAAATGCAAAAGAAACAAATAGAGTAGACATTAGTTCAAGTCGATTACAAAAGGAGTTTTTCATACCAAAAGGAAATTTTTAAAAAGACAGAGTTAATCTCTGTAGAACAGAGTTCATCCCCTCTGAAAATTTAAAAAAAAAAACAACATAAACTAAGAGAAACTGAAGTAACCTTGCAAATCCAATCACTCCTTCCTTCACATGTTAGTTCTCATCAACCATCTCCATCATCACATCCTCTTCGTCACTTGATCCATCGTCGAATGATCGCCTGCAAAAAAACATATGCTTTATGTTTACCTAGGCTATGAATCTCAACCAAAATATAAGCCAATTATAAGAGAATTTTCAACTTACAGATAACTTGGAATGTCAAGTTCATAAAAGATTGGATCAATGTATAGACGTGAACAGCCATATTCACTCATTAAAACATTGTTTCCTATAGGAAAAAAAAAAGATTCAGTCAATGTAACTAATAAAATTGTAAAGTCAGTTCATAAAACTATAATAAGAACCAACCACAGTAAGAAGTTATTCTCCAGAAACGCAATACTGCAACAATCTTATCATAGTTGTAGTTTATTCCGCTTATTTTCTGAGACCAAGTGTTCACAAAGAACTCACACCACTTTCCCACAGCTACGCATTTTATTGTCTCCCCCCTAGATTAAAAGTTTAATTTCCAAACAAAAAGAACAGTCAATCCAATTTCTTAAAGTAATTTAAGAACAACCATTGAAATTCTGTCATAGAGGGTAAACTAAACTTACACATTATTTTTAATTTTGAAGCAGACATAGCGAGATTCATAGTCTGTTTCTCCTCTGCGACACACATATGGAAACCTTCCTATGGTGGAAACAGCAGAGATAACTCCCATAGCATCTAAGTAAAAATTAAAGGAAAATGGTCATATAAGTCTTCATATATAATAAATCTTGGTATAAAACATTTAATTTCACAAATTATTACCAAAGGCTTGAGTGGGTCTGTGTAAG